CGCGGCGGCAGAGCGCGCGGCGGCGGAGCGGGCGGAGGCCGAGCGGGCAGAGGCTGAGCGGGCGGCGGCCGAGGCGGCCGAGGCGGCGGAGGCTGCTGCGATGCTCGACCACATCTCTGTGGGCCAGAAGAACACGGGCCAGCGCGGCCGACGGCCCGCCTGCAAGCTGCCCCTTTCGGAGATGACCAAGGGCATCGCGATCGCGGGCGAGCAGGGCAGCGGCAAGACGGTCGGCTCCAAGATGATCGTCGAGCAGCTGCTCAGCCCGACGTGCCCGGTCAAGCGCGTCGTTACGCTCGACGTCGCCGGCGAGCTCGGCCAGATCGGGGCGCCGCAGGACGTGCCGTCCGACCTCTCGCGCGAATTTGAAGAGCGTGTCTACACCAACCACTGCACCTTCTGCGCGGGGGCGGGGCAGAACTCGACCCTCAACCCGTTCGGCATGGCCGCGCAGCTGAACGCGCTGCCCTACGACACGGCGGTCGAGCAGCAAATCTTTGCGCGCGAAGCGAGCCCCTTCGTCGAGCTGCTCGTCGCTCCGGTCATCAGTGCGGCGCCAACCGGCGGCTTGTCGCTGCTCGACACTGGCTTCCCATCCATCACAAAGACCGCCTTTGGGAGCGTACCCGTTGAGGCGAAGACGAAGATCGCGGACGCCCTCTTCCAAGCCGTCAAGGGCGTCCTCATCAAGCACAAGGCTGCCGGCGGCAGCGTGCCGGGCAGCTTGGACGACCTCTGCGCAGAGCTTCGCTGCGCGACGGAGCCGCGGCTGAGCTCAGGCGCCGAGGCGCTCGGCTTCAAGCTCCACCCCGCGATTGCGCCGGGCGACATCGAGCATCTCGCCAAGCTGCTAGAGTACTACATGCAGCCCGTCGGCCCGTTCGGAATCCTCTACGTCCCGGCCACCGCCACCGTCGAGAACGACAACCCCGACGCCGACTCTGTCTACCCGCTCACAGCGAAGGAGCTGCTCCGCGACCCAGTGCACGAGAAGAAGAAGCACTCAATCATCTCGCTTGCCAACCTGGACGAGCAGCAGAAGATCCTCGCCGTGCGGCAGATCCTGCACTCGCTCGCGCGTGAGCTGCCAACGGCGGCGGGGCGGCTGCGCTCGGAGCAGCACGCTCCCAAGATCGCCATCGTCATCGACGAGGTCGGCGCTCTGTGCCCGTACGACCCGCACTCAAAGAGTGAGGGCAAGTTCGGCGCGTCCGCCTACATCGCGCAGTTCCTCAACCTCTGCCGCAAGTATGGCATCATCGTCTTGCTGTCCACGCAGTGCGTCGGGCAGCTGCACCCCGTCGTTCGCACTGCCATCGGTGGGCCTGTCTTCCTTGGCTATCCCGGAGGCCGCGACAAGTGGAAGAGCTTCGTCGACACGCGCTACGGCGCCGACAAGAAGGGCGACAAGGGCTGCAAGAAGGAGATCATTTCGGGCGTCGTCGGCCTTGAGAAGGGCAAGCACGAGTTCGTCTTGCTGCCTCCGGACAAGACCGAGAAGCACGAGGTGGCCACCTTCGACTTGCCCATCCACAAGCACCAGGACGCTGGGGTCTATGGCCGGGACGTCACCGCCGCCAACCGCGACAAGCACCCCATCGTGCGCACCGACGAGACGCGCCGGGCGAAGCGTGCGCGCGTCGCGTAGGCTGTCGTAGCTGGGGCAGGGGCGGAGGGGGGGCGAGGGTCGGGGAAGGAGGAGGCGGCGGCGGCGAAAAGGAGGCGGCGGGGAGGAAGTTGCGCGCCGCGACATGATGCCAGCGACAGTACGTGATGTCGGAGACAGGCTACAGTGAACAGCTACGTTGCAGCGACCAGTAATAGGTCAGAGCAGTAATAGGTCAGAGCGGAGGTACAGTGAGAGATACGCCAAGGTGTTAGTAAGCGGGTTGATTTGTATGTTGTACGTACTCTCTCACGTTGTATGTTCAGTACGTTGTGAAGTCGAGTGCTCCAACTTTGCATACGCCACTCGACTCTTGGAGCGCCGCCGCCACCACCCAGAGCGCTGCAAGCAGCGCCGGGCAATGACGGCGTACCGCCCAAACAGCCGCCCCTCGACGGGCAGGGCCCCCAATGTGCGTCGTAAACAAGAAAAACGTGTAAGATCACAAAGGAAGAATCTCGTGCAAAGGAAGAAACCCTTTTGAACGCGTCCAGTCCAAGCGTCCAAGATTGTGCTTGCGTGTATCGCGCGCCGCGCTTGCTCGCTCCTTCTCGAACGATGGCCAACCACACGACGGCCGCGAGCACGGCCGGTGCCGGCTCCTCTGCGGTGGCGCTGTCATGCTCCCTCGTAGTCGCTCTTGTGCCTCTCTCGTGCGTGCTCCTCCATCGTGTGAGCGAGCTCTTCCGACAGCCCAGTCGCACCAGCTGCAGTGCAGGGCTGTCGGAGCGCCTCTGCGATGCCCGCAAAATCGAGCACAGGCTACGCACGCAGGTCACATTCTCCTCCCTCGCCGTCGCGTGGGCCGCCTTCATCCTGGGCATCCCGATGTGTTACATTGTGCGCTTTGTCGGTGGCATGCATGCAATGGATGTGATCATCTCGAGGGAGCCGCTGCCAGTGCTCGGCCTGCTGACGGTGCTGCCTCCCACGCTGGTCCTGCTAGCCTGCAGGCCCCTGGACCACGTTGGTGTCCGACTCGCAGGAGCCTTCTGCGCCATCACCCATTTCTACTATGTCGCGCACGATGTCGCCGCGTGCCAGTACACCGCCAGCCGTTGCTATAGCCTGGATCAGCCAATCTGCCTCGACAGCATGTGGGTGGGAGCCGCGGTGTCCGGGTGGGAGGCCAGCAAGCTGGCTCCGCTGCTGCTTTTGGGCCTGCTAGATAAGGCGGCCCTGGTCGCCGGCGGCGCCGTGTATATTACAGTCATCGTGCGCTCAGCGTCCACGCGAGACGCGCTGAGCAGGCTCTTCGTCACACTGCGAGTCGTCTTCCTCGTCAGCTTCGTCTCGAGCAGCGGCCAGTGGCTCTGGCTGCTCTCACACCAGACTGCGCGCTTCGGCACCAGCCACATTCACGATTGCGGCTGGTCGCACTTCGTGCGCAAGAGCTTCGGCAGCGGCTTTGGCTTGCTCTTCGCCGTCTTCCTGACCAGGTTTGCATGCGAGAGGATCGAGGGTGCCGAGCAGGCGCCGCTCACAGCCCCAGTGGATAATAGGCGTGTTCGCGGGCGTATCTATCGCTGCCTCGGTTGGAATTGGCTCCGCGCGAGCTCGCGCTCTATGGCTGCTGTCGCGTCGCTCGTCGGCAGCGGCGCAATCGAGACGGACCAGCGCTGTCGCAAAGCCATCGACACATTCCGCGCGATGCCGTGGGCGGGCCTAACCGAGGCGGATCTTTTGCTGGGTCAGGCTCCAGAAGAAGACAGGAGCGAGCCGGCGAGGCTGGGGGAGGTGGACGCTTTCATCTCGCACTCGTGGGCGGACGCGGGCGCTGAAAAGTACGAGGTTCTGCGCGAGTGGGCTGGCGGCTTCGAGGCGGAGCACGGCCGCCCGCCGCTGCTGTGGCTCGACCGCTGCTGTATTCGACAGGACGCCGTCGCGGCAAGCCTGCTCCAGCTGCCCATCTACCTGTCCGGCTGCCGCAGCTTGCTGGTGCTGCATGGGCCGACCTATTGCTCGCGGCTGTGGTGTGTGCTTGAAATATTCATCTTTGTGGCGATGGGTGGCGCGCCGGGCCAGGTTGAGGTGCTGCCGCTGCGCGGTCTTGGCGGTGGGAGGGCCCAGTGCGGCCTGGGGGGCGGCTTGGCGCGCTTCCGGCTGAGCGAGGCATCGTGCTCGCTGCCAAGCGACCGCACGCGCATGCTCGCGGTGATTGAGTGCAGCTTTGGCGACGAGGTACCCTTCAACCAGATGGTGCAGACCCTGTTGAGGAGGAACATCGGTGCCGCTTCGGGCTCGTCAGCGGTATAGCGTGGGTGTTTTGCGATCGGGTGCGAGAAGTGGAGCAGCACTGCCACTGGCGAGGCGCACACACCCCGGATCTAGGTCGAGGACGTGCAGCAGCACGCCACCTGTAGGCCTTGTGCGATCTGTGGACATGGCGGGGCGGATGAATCCCAACGATCTTGCGCGCTTATGGACGGAACTCCGTGCGAAACACCCTCTTGGCATCTCAGCGGCAATCTGATTGCAGTGGCGTCGGCGCCGAACCTCCCACGTCCGGTGCCTTCCTACGGATCATCGCTCGACAGGGTCAAGCCGCTCATCATTGGAGAGTTTCATGACCCCGCAACGACCTACACTTCGGCGCAGAAAATGCGGGGCTTCTTTCCTAACGGCGCTTTGATGAACTGGCAAGGCTATCGCCATGGCCTGCCCTCCACCGTGAACGCGGGCCAACCCGGTACGCGAGACTTCCAAAAGAAAGGCTACGGCGCCTGGGATTGCTTCAACAGGACGCGGGACTACCTCAAGGATGGCATTCTTCCCCCGTGCCGAATGGGTATACCTGCCCGATCAATGGTCCGGCTGCAGGCTCTCTGTCCTTGCGCATCGCGAAGGAGGTGCCCCCATGTTAATGGCCGTCCATTCTCACTCTCCTTTGCGCTATCGGCCCTCAAAACTTGCCGGGCCGTGGCGTAGCTCGAGAAGACAAGACTCTGCATGTCGCATGATATAAGAAGGAGCCAGAGATGGGCGTTGCATGTCGCATGATATAGCCGCCCCTCTCTCCCTGGGCGTTCCCCATTATAGCGCTCGAAGTTGCGTAATACGTGGTAAAAGGTAGGATAAGCCTCTCCACAAACCAACTGTTGTGGTTCGTATTCATGAGAGAGACGCACCGAGCATCCCCGCGGTCATTTGCTTCGGTGGTGGCGGGGACGGCGGCGGCGGGGACGGCGGCGGCGGTGATGGTCTTCAAGAGAAAATAAATAAGCCGAATGAGCTGTGTCTATCCCCAAAATCTATCTGTGACCGACAGTCGCTCCCCCTTTCCCCGCCTCGGTCGGCTTGCAGGCTCGCGCACCGCTCGTGCTCCGCCTAGCGCCTAGGCAAAGACGCGACGGCGGCGCGACCCGCTCTCGCTCTCGGCGGGAGAGTCGGGCAGCTCCGCCGCGTCCTGCAGCCGCGCGAGCGGGATCGTGCCGGCGGGCGGGGGCTCCGTCGGCTCGCGCGGAGAGAGGAACTCGCCGCTGCTCTTCCGCTTCGCGCACATCTCCTCGACGAGCATCGTGAGCCGCGCCACGTCGTCCCGCAGCAGCGTCACCTCATCCTTGACCGAGCGCTTCGGCTGCGGCTGGCCGAGGCTCGACTTGCGCGCCTGCTTCGGGTTGAGAATCTTGTCGATCTCAGCGAAGTCGAGCTCGCCCGACTTGTCGCGGTCCATCGAGTCGAAGATCTGGTGCAGCACGCTTCGCGGGCCGCGGTAGCCCAGGCTCTGGATCGCCTTGCACCACTCGCGCCTCGAGACGGTGCCGGAGCCGTCGTCGTCCCAGCTGCGGAAGAGCGCCTGCAGCTGGCCGTACTCCTGCGCGAGCATCTGGTGCAGCTTCTCAATCACGCTCATCTCCTCCGGGTCGGGCGCGTCCTCCTCCTCCACCATCTTGTCGAGCAGCACCGCGACGACGACGTTGATGAGGACGATCTGGCAGACGATGATGAAGGAGACGTAGAAGAGGGCCGGCCCGACGCCTGTGTCGCCGCTAAAGATGGCGGGCCGCGCGACCGCCTATGGACACGTCTCGGACATGTCGTGGACGTGTCACGGAAAGCTTCGGGAGGGCAACATGCTGCCCGCCTCGGACCACGACTCGCCGGTCAGCACCTGGAAGAGTGTGTACAGCGCGCGGAAGAAGGTGCCGTAGTACTCTTCCCCGTACGTGAAGCCACGCGCCGTCTCGGAGGAGAAGGTCTGGGTGAGGGAGCAGTCCGCGCCGGCGAGATAGTCGTTGCCATCGTCCACGTACACCGTGCGGCCGTCCTCGGTCTCATTGCAGAGCCCGCGCCGCACATTCTCGTTGTACGTCGTGATGCCGCCGTCATCGCCGGTGAGGTGGAAGAAGTCGACGCCGAGAATCGCGTAGATGCACATCACGATGATCGTGATCAGAAATGCGTTGAAGACGCCGGGGATCGCCTTGCCGAGTCTGCGCAACGGTGCAGCGGCGCCGTTTTTGGCGCGAGGTGTGGCCCGGCGGGGAAGAGAGCAGTAGGGCGGGAGGAGAGGCGGGAGTACTGGAGGGCGGGAGGAGAGGCGGGAGTACTGGAGGGTGGGAGGAGAGGCGGGAGAACTGGAGGCTGGGAGGGTGGTGGCGGGAGGGCGGCGAGGCTGCAGGCGCACGAGGAGAAGATCTTGTTGAGCGACTTGACGCGCTTGAAGAGGCGAAAGATGCGAAAGGCCCGAAGGTTGCGGACGAGCGCGAGCTGCGGCGGCATAAAGGCGCCGCCGATGGCCTCTGCCATGCCGACGCAGCCGATGGAGACGACGAGGAGGTCGAAACAGTTCCAGCCGCAGTTGTGGCGCCAGAAGGCAAAGGCGAGCCCATAGAAGTTGACCAGTAACTCGACGAGGAAGAGCGTGTTGAAGGTGAACTCGCTCCACTTCCAGAGCGCCGGCCGCAACTGCTCGGTATACGGGTCCCACTCCTGCGGGCGCGGAAGTAATGGTTAGCCAGCGTAGCCACCGTGAAAGAGCCGATGCGAGGTCCGTGAAGGCAGCCGACCTTCTCTGCGCAGTTGAACAGGAAGTTGGAGATGATCAGGACGGCGGTCAGAATCTGGACGGGCTGGCTAATGTAGAAGCGGAAGACGTCGAGCTGGCGCGGGAGGCAGAAGCAGATCGACCGAGGCGGCGGGAGGGAGATTTCCTCCCACCTCAGCTTGGTGTTCGAGTCGGCGGGGACAGATCTTGCCGTGCTGTGGGTGCTCTCCTCAAGAGTAACGCTCTCGGCGTCCGAGCAGTCGACGTCCGAGCCCACAGCTGACGTCCTTGCTGTGGCGGCCTTCTCAGCGGCCTCGCGCTTGCGCCTCCGCGCGGCGTGGATCGCAGCAATCATGCGCTCGTGATTAAAGCCTAAGCGTCCCGGACACGTGTGAGCGCAAGGCCGCGAGGCGCCGACCGAATATGCGGCCAGCTGAAGTGCGGCCGATTTATTTAGCGAAGACGAAAAACAAATCGGGGTGCATGTGGGCTCGAGAGAGATGCGTGAGGTAACAACATGACCTGTAGGCAAATGCTCGGAGTGGGAGTCAGAAATGTGGTCCTTGCGCGAGGGGAGCTCGATAGACTCGAGGGGCCAGGATACGCCGCGAGGAGCAGGAGGACGGAGTTGCGCCGAAAGGCGAAAGAAGCCGCGAGAACAAGGGACCGGCAGGCGGCGGCGCCGCAGGACGAGACAGAAGAGAACGACGCGACAGAGGAGGAAGTGACAAGGGAGAGAGCGACGAGAGTGGGACGGCCGCGAGGTGGCACGAAGGTTGAAGCGAGAATCGGAGAGAGACTGCGAAGAGAGATAGGAAGAGGCAGACTCCCTAGGGTAGGCGACGGCTAGCGCATCACACTCCTCTCCTTAAAATCCCTGTGTGGTGGCGGCGTGCCGTTCTCCCATCCCTCCCTTGGGTTGTCTGTTTTCTTTCTTTCTTTCAGATGCGTGAGGTGTGTGTCCGCCGCGTTTCATACATCAAGATCATGTGTGTGCTTGCGGCCGGCTTCATCGCCAGCACCGCCTTTTCCTCCGATGACCATCACGTCAGAGCAATTT